CGTTCCTACTACCACACGGTGTAACGAACCCAAAATCACCCCTTTGTACTCAGGCCTGAAACAGTCCAATTACCATCGCGCATCAACCCCATGTTCATCACCGATGGCAATGAAGGTTCACCCGTAAACGGCATCAGTGACAGTAAGCGCTTCTACTGTGCCAAGTGCATGCATGTGGTGCCATGTGCATGTACAAGGTACAACTTCACCATGTGCGACCACAATTTCTGCTCAAGATGTGTCGCCATGAAGCTGTGCCAGAACGTCGCCCGCGTCAAATGTACGGGAGAGAGTTCGACAGTGTCGGAGGAATATCGCGGCGTGACAATGTTGCAGTGAGTTTTACTGTCTTGCGCTTATTTCAGTCGTTCCTACTACCACATGGTGTAATGAGCCCAAAATTACCCCTTTATACTCAGGCCTGAAACGGTCCTAGTATCGTCGCGCATTGCACCTTTGTCCATCACCGATGGCAACGAAGATTCACCTGTGGACGACATCACCGATGGTAAGCGCTTCTTTTGTGCCAAGTGCATGCATGTGGTGCCATGTGCATGTATAAGGTCCAACTTCACCACTTGCGACCATGACTTCTGCTCGAGGTGTGTTGGCTTGAAGCTGTGCCAGAACGTCCCTCGTGTCAAATGTACCGTGGACAACTCTACGGTGGCGGAGAGATACCACAGCATGGCGATGGTGCAGTGAGTTTTACATGCTTGCGCTTGGTTCATTCGTTCCTATTACCATGCAATGCAATGAACACAACATTACCTGCTTATACTCAGGCCTGAAACAGCTGTATCATCGCCCATTGACCCTAAGTTCGTTACCGGTGGCAATGAAGATTCACCGCTGGTGGATGGCAACGACATCGGCGATGATAAGCACTTCTACTGTGCTAAGTGCATGCATGTGGTGCCATGTGCATGTATACGGTCCAACTTCAGGACGTGCGACCACGACTTCTGCTCTAGGTGTGTCGCCGTGAAGTTAGGCCAGAACATCGCTCATGTTGGATATTCTGAAGGTGAGGACGGTGATGATGATCTGTTCTATTGCAACATCTGCATGGAGATGGTGGCGAGGACCCTCAAGTTCAGCGTCAACTCGTGTGGCCACGTCTTCTGCTCAAGCTGTATCACCCAGTACGTCGCCGCAAAGCTGGACAACAATGTAGCTCGCGTCGAATGCCCTGACCCAGGCTGCAAGGGCGGTGTCGTTGAGCTGGAGAGGTGCCATGACATCATTCCCCTGGACCTCCTCGACAAATGGGGTTTCCTGCTGTGCGAATCTGCGCTTGGCACCAAGAGGATATACTGCCCATACAGAGAATGCTCGGCGCCTCTGCTTGCTGACAGCGAGGCCGGGGTGACTGCGGTCAGGGAGGCGGAGTGCCCGCACTGCCACCGGCTTTTCTGTGTCCGCTGCGCTGTGCCATGGCATGGCGGCATCACTTGCAATGAGTTCCAGAAGCTTGGACTGGACGAGCGCGGCCCGGAGGACATCTTGCTCAGGCGTCTCGTCGGCAGGGAGGGGTGGCAGCGGTGCCCGAAGTGCCAGATGTACGTGGAGAAATCAGAAGGGTGCAATTACATCAAATGCAGGTACAGCAAACTAAACCTGAGTTAGTTTCTTCATGTCAAATTGCTCATTGGTCCCTTTGGAAATTACGATCTGATCATGAAGATCATTCACACTGTGAAATGATTTGAGCTCGGCCCCAGCTTGTTTGATATTAATTTGATTTTCTCCAATTGTAGGTGTGGATACAGCTTCTGCTACCGGTGTGCATCCAAGTTGTCCGCGCTAAACCATTTCTGCAACAAGTGCAAGCGCTGACGATTTATTTGGGGTGTGCAGACCTACGAATATATAGCCTCCTTGAATAGCTTCAGTTCTGTTTGTGTATATATGGGTTATTAAGGTATCGTTTGGTTATTGCAGTGCAAACTGGAGACTGTTACTACTTGATTGTCTATATATATCTAATACTCCCTCCATCCCAAAATGGTTGTCGCTCAAATGGATGAATCCGTGGCTTGGATATTTCAATGGGCGATCCATAATTGTACAATGTATCAGAGGATTAATATTGCATATGCATTCATACACACTTGAGCACCGGCGGACATGAACACCTACCACACCACCACTTCTATAAGGTGCATCGGCACACAAACACTGACTCTATAGATGATCGATTCTGGCTTCGTCCCATGAGTCGCGCCCCTAGTTGCTGATCATGGCTCCTGATCCGGAGAGTGGAAGCTGGGAATTGGGGGAGTAGGCTGCTGTTCTTGTGGGGAAACAGAGACCATGGAACATCTTCTCTTCCTTTGCCCGCCGTCAAGTTTTACTTCTGTGTGTGGGTGAAAGTGCGAAGAACATTTTTTTTTTCTGAAATGAAGGTGGTGTGGGTGTCGGTGATAAACAACCAGTAGCGTGCCATGTCCTGAGTGATCATGGTTCTGTTCATTCTCCTTTCGAAACGACACCGTTGCCTCTCCAAGGTCACAGACTCGAGCCATTGTGCCTGTTTGCAAGTCAAAGTGGCCCGCTATTGCGCAAAGACGCATAAAGAGGCCCTTCTCCTTGCTTGAGGTCGAGGCGCTCGTGGAAGCTGTCGAATAGCTTGGAACAAGAAGGTTCAGGTGGCCTCTTGAACAACAAAGGTTCAGGTTGCAGCAAAGATGTTCTCATTATGTTGCCTCTTGGTCTGTTAGGTTCAGGTGGAGAGACGTTGAAATGCCCACGTTCGACAATATGATCTGAAGGTAATTCAGTAACCACAGCCTAAAAACTGCTGCTATTGCATTGCTGATTGCCTACTGTCAGCTACTTCTCTCTACAGAGAACATAGATTTCAGGACAAGGCTGCTCCTCCAGTTGCTGAAGACACTCATCTCTGCCTTGCCTGCCTAGAGAGGAAAATTGTTACTCTGTAAAAAAATGTTTAAAGGATGTTGACAAATTTCTGTGTTTATTCCAAGCTCACAGGTCATTTTACTTTTCTATTCTTCTCTGTTTGGTGCTCAGGCCAGGTGCTCTCTTTTCCTCTGTTGATTTTGACCGCCCTTGTAAATGATTTTCTAAACTATCTGGAATGCTTCGGAATTTACCAGATGTTCATATAAAAACGATTCAACATTCCAGCTGTTGCACATCTATCCTATTAATTATTTGTTATTACTCTGTCTTGCATTGGAATTAGTTTTTTTCATTTAGAAATTAGATTTGATAATTGAAACCTGTATTTTTTTTGAGGAAACTGTAATTTTTTGGCGAGAAATGGTAATCTGATAGTAAAAAAAAAGGACACAAGTTTTTTCTAGAAAAAAAATACTAGGACGAGTGATGTCGGCCCAGTTATATTTTGTTGGCGACAGGCTGAACTAGCTATAGCCCAGTGGATAAGGCCCATTAGCCCAACAACACCCTGCACTTTACCACTCCTCTCCCGAGCCGGCGGCGACACATGAGCACGGGCCTCGCCCAGCTGCTCCTCTCATGTCTCGCCGGCGACTGCCTCCGCCGCGTCCTCCCAGCGGCACACACATGCGTCGTCGTCTCGGATGCCCTCCCAGAGCTCTTCCTCGCCAACCTCCCTAGTCCACCGCATCAACAATTTGTCATGAGCCTAGGAGGAAAAAAATGATTATGCATGGGCCCAAATGTCAGGAAAATAAATACGCACAGTCAGGGACATTTATTTTTTCAAAATAAAATGACAAGGAAAGGAATGGACAAAAAAGATAAGGTATGTGTCCAAGCGGCACACACATGCGTCGTCGTCTCGATGCCCTCCCAGAGCTCTTCCTCGCCAACCTCCCTAGTCCACCGCATCAACAATTTGTCATGAGCCTAGGAGGAAAAAAAATGATTCAACAAAAGTCTAGCAGTAGGAGGAGAGCGATTTGCAATCAATTTGAGTGAGAAATAAGGAAGTCCAGCCAGAAAGGAAAGAAACCTTTGTGTTACTCCAACCGAAAGGAAATTAAAAAAAAAACACCAGTTCAAGCAGAAAAAAATAAATGATTAGGCATGTGTCCAAGCGCCAGGAAAATAAATGATTCAGTTTTATTGTTGCTACAGTGCACGAGCACAAGCAGGGTGCTCCCTCGTTCACCGCATCAATGATATGTCGTCGGTCCGAAAGGTATGAAAAAGAATGATTTGACGTCATTACAAGAAGAAAGAAAAAACTGCCTGGCGTCATTCCGAGAGAAATGGGTGAAGGTCACAGATGAGCCGTGAGCTTCTTCTCCCTCGTCCACTGCATCAACAATTTGCCTTGAGTCTAGGAGGAAAGAAAAGAAATGAACGGAAGTTTGAGTGGTAAGGGAAAAACGATTCGGCATTAATTTGGGTGAAAAATAAGGAAGTCCAACCAAAAAAGGTCGAAACCTTTGTGTTTCTTCGGCTGAAAGGACATAAAAAGAATATATGTCCAAACGAAATTAAATAAATGATTAGGCATGTGTCCAAGCACCAAGAAAATAAATACCCATGGACATTTATTTAATTAGAAGAGAAAAGGAAAGGAAAAAAAAGACTAACGTCACTCCACAATTTTGGCTCCCAAAAGAAAATATGATTCGACAAAATTCTAAGCGGTTGGGGAAAGCTGATTTGGCATCAATTTGAGTGAAAAATAAGGAAGTCCAACCGGAAAAGAGACCTTTGTGCTTCTTCAACCCAAAGGAAAAAAACATGAGTTGAAGCAAACTAAATAAATGATTATGCATGGGCCCAAATGTCAGGAAAATAAATACGCACAGTCAGAGACATTTATTTTCTCAAAATAAAATGACAAGGAAAGGAATGGACAAAAAAGATAAGGTAGTAATAAAAAAAGAGACGCCTCTCCACAAACTCTGACCCCCAACACACCCCGGGGGCGACCTAGGGTGACAGGCCCGTGGGTTTAACCCGGCCAGAATTTATGTCATGACTGCTTTTGCCTCGGCAAGGCTGGTACCTGCCTTGCGTCATCGGCAAACACGATGGACGACGCTGCGTATTTAAGCCGCGAATCAAATTCCTGCGGGGGCGATGTGGTACTAAACAAACTAAAACGGGGGCGACAAAAGAAGAAGTGACGAGCGGCGGGTCTCTCGGCCCGGGTGGGGAGTATTTCGGCCCACTAGCACAGCCCAGCCCAGCCAATTGGTGGTGTTTGCCGTTTCAATCAATTCCAAAATAAAACTACCGTGGCCGCCGCGCAGCGCGTCCGTATCCGTCGGTGCATCCCCATCCGACTGCGCCCTCTCGCCGTAGCCGGTACATGCCCGACGGCAACTTAATTTTCACTAGCAGCATGAGGAGACGCCTATGGATCACAAGCAAGTGAGGATCAATCCTGAATGCAATTATTAACACAAGCAAAGTGCAAACCCCTGATTGAAATTATGGGCCCAGGTAATGCTGAAAATGAATCCATACAGCTCACTATACAAACTCCCTAAAAAATATGAGTCATACATCAGACAAGTAGATCAAAAGGGCACACTCTTGTTATCCTTACAACTCCCTATATATACAAATCATATAGCTACGAACTAATCCATTATGGTGCTTGCAGATCATGGCATCGGGAGTCCAAGGTGGTTGCGGACGCGGGCGGGGCGGGCCTGATCTGGGCTCACCCAAACCCGTCGCGGGCGAGCGGGGCGGCGGATCTGCGCCGGATCGGCCGTGGGGTGCAGTCTCGGACAGAGGCTGCTGCTTGGACGCCGATGGGTGTGTTGTGGCGGCTTCGTCCTGGCATGCGTTGATTCCTGCGGTCATTTTCGGAGCGGTGTGAGGTGTGTTGGGGCGGTGCGGGCGACTGGCGGTAGTGTGGTCAGGAATTTCTGTCCTTGGCGTTCGGGTCCAGATTCTCCGGACGAAAGTCTTGCTCGATGTCGGTGATGGCAACGTTCGTGGATGCTGTTTTCCTTCTTGGAGGCATCACTGAGGAGATCTATCACCCTCCTGCCTTTGGATCCTTTCTTCGGGTGAAAACCTAGATCCGTCTTGTCAGATAGGCAATGAGGCATCTTTGGCTGCCTTACTTTGTTGGAAGCATTGCTTTGGAGAGGTTCTTGGTGGGCACACTTGGTCTGAGGTGGTCTGGATGGTCGGGGCTCCGGTGGTGTGTGGAGTCGTGATGGCGCGTTTGTCCGAGGATGGTCATTGGCCGTTGTGCGGTGGCGGTGGGCGGCAGGAGCACACTTGAGATGCTTGGTGCGGCGGACAAGTCTTTGTTAGTCCTCCTTTGGAGCGGCACATGGCTGCCCTGCTTCGGATATGTCTTGTCTCTCCAATGTTCATGAGGTCGAGGAACACACTTTGCGGCGGACATGCTTGATGCGGGTGCCCTTTAATGTTGCAGTGAAGTCAAAGTCATCGGGTCGCGGGTGCGATGGATGATATAGATGACACTGCAAAGATCGGTGGGGTGCTTTTCTCTGTCATGTTTAGTTGTGCCGGCGACCTTGTATCTCTTGTGGTGTTGTTGGTCTGGGTTAGCTGTCAATCTTCTCTTTGGCTAGGCTGACGGACCTTTTTTCTGTTTTCTTTGTTTTCATCAGTTCGAACAGATAAAATGTAGCGTCAGTCGAAGCGGAAGTAAAAATGATTAACTTTACATTTTTATTTTGAGAAACACCCAAAGTCATCTCATATAAGATATTTATGGAGAAAATAGTAGACATCGCAAAGAAAGCAAAACAAGACACGAAACGATCTGTATATTGACTGCCTTCTTCCACCGTTTATTCATCCTCACTGCAGTTTAAAAAATAGACTCAACAGACAGTGAGTAAATGGGACATCGACAACGTCATCGCCATGGAAGG